GGGGCTCCTGAACCCGTTGGCCCGCATGCCGGAGCCCGGGGACCTGTCCTGGTCCTTCACATCCATTTATCGCACAGGCACGCCCACGCCACGTGACGGGCATCCCCCTGCTCCTGCCACGCCCGGGAGAGAGGGGGTGGGACCTTCGTCCTCCGGCGTTGGCCTGGCTGTAGCTCCCTCGTCACCCGGGGGTTCTTTTCGGGGAGGGATGCGCTTTCCCCCCCCCTCCCCACCCAAGTATTTGTACATCCAAATGGAGTACTGTGCCCAGACCCTCCGAGACTTGATCGACGAAGGGAAGCTGTGGGCCTCCCTGCCCCAGTGCTGGCGCTTGCTTCGACAGATGCTAGAGGCTTTGGTGTACATCCACAAGAAGGGCATCATCCACCGGGACATGAAGCCCGCGAACGTCTTCTTGGACGGGGAGGGAAACGTGAAGGTAGGGGACTTTGGGCTGGCGACCACGCGGGCCCGAGGAGGGGGAGGGAGAGAGGGCAGGCACGTCGGTGGAAGGGGGTGGGTGGTGGGGTCGGGCGAGGACGACAGCCAGGGTCGAGGGAACAGCACTGACGGTGGTACTGGAGGGAGAGGTGAAGGAAGGGACGGCCGAGGAGATGCGGTTGGAGTGGAGGACAGGGGCGCGGGTGCTGGGGTGCCAGAGAGGTCGAGGGAGGAGGGAGGGTGGGAGGAAGGGAGCGGGAGTATCACAGGAGGCGTGGGCACTTACTTTTACATCGCGCCTGAGCAGCAATTGCTGACGTCGGGCCCGAGGAGTGGCCGCTACGACACCAAAGCCGATTTGTACTCTTTGGGGATCATTTTTTTCGAGATGACGCACCCTCCCTTCGCCACCATGATGGAACGCGCCAAAACCTTGACCGCACTCCGTACCACGCAGGAGCTTCCCTCCGAGTACCTGGCGCGCGTACCCCCCTTGGTCGCCAAGGTGATCCAGCAGCTTGTTGATCCCTCCCCTTCCCTCCGGCCCTCCGCCGCGGCCTTTCTCGCCTCGGGAGATCTGCCGGGGAAGATGGAGGTGGAAGAAGTCTATCTGAAAGAAGCCTTGGCCACTTTGACGAACCCTCAGTCCCTGTCCTACAGACGCTTGGTTCGCGCGCTTTTTGCGCATGGAAACCCCCCTGAGGTGGACGCGACCTGGGATTTGGAATGGATGGCGGCACAGAAGGAGGAGATGACAGCCCGGGTATTGGCCCGCCGGGAGGCCGTCTCCGACTACGTGAAAACCGTTTTTCAATTGCATGGGGCCTTGCCCGTGTCCGTTCCTCTCTTGCGACCGACGCCGGCCGCCTTGGGCGGGAGGGCTGGGACCCCTGGGGCGCGGGCGGGAAGAGAAGGGGAGCTCGTGCCTGCCCACCGCCGGCACCATCAGGAGGGAGGACGGGAAGGAGGCGGGACCGGTGGAGGGGAGGGTCAGGGCGTGGACGTGCTGGACGCAGAGGGGGCGGTGCTTCGTCTCCCTTCGGACCTACTCGTTCCTTTCGCCCGGTACGTGGCCCGCACGGAGGTCTCCCATTTGAAGCGGTACGAAGTTTCCAGAATCTTCCATGGCCCCGACCAGGGGGCGGGGCACCCGCAGGAAGAATGGGCCGCGCAATTGGACGTCGTCTGCGACGGCCGACACACGCCAGGACAGGGGGAGATCTTGGAGGCAGAGGTGGTGTGGACAGCAGGGCAGGTGGTGGAAGGTATCGTAGGCCGACCGTACGTGCTGCGTTTGAACAGCGCGCCTTTATTGCAGGGGACATTGGAGCTTTTGGACGTCCCCCTCGAGGCGCGCAAGCCCGTCCTGAACCTGCTCGAGGCCGTGTGCATGGGGGCGCTCGCACACCCCAAGGCGGTGGCGGCGGCGCTGGAGGGGGTAGTGGGTTTTACAGCGGAAGGGGGAGAGGGAGGAGCCAGGGGAGGAAAGAGTGCCACAGGAAGCAATGCGAGTGAAGGCGAAGGCCTCAGGTCGACGCGAGAGGTAAATGTGAGAGCAGCCACCCTTCAGCAGAGACAGCAACAGCACCAGTACGCATTGCAAGAGAGCAAGGAGGGTGTAAAACGGCTCCTCAACAGCCTGCTCAGCGCAGGGAACGACCCATATATGAGACTTCAGGCTGTGGAAGACGTCCTCTCCGCCCTGCCGCAGGTGCAAGCTGTCTTGATTCCCCCGGAAGGAGGAAGTGGGGTCGGAAGGGGGGAAGGGGGGGGGCCAGGGAGGGTAAGGTCCGGCCAATTTCACGCCTCTCGGAAGGAAATGAAACGGCTCCGACTGGCTTGTAAAACCGTTTCTGATGCACTCTTAAGCCTGCGAACCCTCTTCCACTACTTGCACGCCTTGGGCATGCTGGTCGTGCCTGCGGCTTCCTCCCCCACCCCTACCGGGCTCTCGTCCTCCCCCCCGTCCTCCCTCTCGGGGGTTGAGAAAGGCGGAGTGGGAGGCAGGATAAGCACGCCGTCCATCAATCCAAGCTTGGACAACCCCAACCAAAATCCTGGCTTGAACCCTCTCCAAACGCATCACCGCCGTGTTGGCACTCGGCAAGGAGGGGGGGACGGACGGCGTGCTCTCCACACCTCTGTGCCGGGGCCTTGGATGAGGGAAAAATGCGGAGGGGTGACCGGGGATACCCCACAAACATTCAGTATGAGCCCCAAGGAACCCAAACATTTGATGGAAGCCTCTCTATTGGCCGGTGCTCAGGGGGGAAAGGGCCCGTCGAATGCAAGCACGCCCGCTGGCCCTTGTCTTTGATATGGGCCTCCACCGCCGCAAGTCTCACTATACCTCGGGCTTGATCTTCCAAGTTCTTGTCCCG